CTTACCGTGGAACTTTACAAAAACCATGAAATACAATATTTTTTCCCCCGAATTTTGAAGATATCGTCGTGCTGAGCGTACCCTATCATTCTATGCACAACGACACGCGTCCGCGATGCCCGGAAGCTTTGTAACCGGTGGATCGCCGCCAAAATATTCTTGGACACGACCACGTAACGCTCAGTATTAATTATGTTTCTCCCTTCTATAGACGGACCTCATAAAGTTGCTACTTCCTCATGGAAAGCCAATGTGCCAAAGAAAACATTTGGTGTGGCAAGGCACAAGGCCAATAACCGACCAGCTTTTCAAATGGAAGAGATAGCATGCCAAGTCTTCTACCCTTGCGACCCCAATACAAAGAGGCTAAGATGGGGATACAGCTGGCTTCCAAGGTCTGAACCCTCCAAATTTATCTAGTCTTTCATCTGATGCAGAACCAACAGACCATTAAGCCAATGGATAGACGGATATACAAAGTTCACTGGTAATTCATGAAGTTCTTTTGGTTGATACAGGCTGAAAATCGTTCTTTATAGGTATAGCACGATGGATTCTTTGTGAGTCTGTCAATAACAAGAACAACGCTTATGATTGACGCGTCGACAGCCCCTCTGGTATACCTCCTTGGTCCTGTTCTTAAGGTGAGAATAGGTTGACCCCCTCCTCACAATACTATGGCCTGACTATTGTCTTACAGATTCCTGCCTACAAATCAATGTTACTCAAAGCCCACGAACGCCCGGAGTAACAGAAGAACGTACGATGGCAACACTTTCAATCATCGATTTGGCTGGTAGTGAACGCGCTAGTGCTACCAAGAATATGGGAAAGCGAATGGTCGAAGGAGCAAATATCAACAAGTCCCTGCTTGCGCTCGGGAACTGTATCAACGCCCTTTGTGAGCCTCGTACAAGGGCTCATATTCCTTATAGGAATAGTAAGCTCACTCGTCTACTCAAATTCTCATTGGGTGGCAACTGCCGTACAGTTATGATTGTGTGCGTGGCACCCACCTCCAATCATCTCGAGGATACTGGAAATACTCTTGCGTACGCAAATCGTGCCAAAGAAATCAAGACCAAGGTCTCCAAGAATATCATGGATGTCGATCGTCATGTTGGTCAATACGTTGAGGCTATCAATAGGCTCAATGACGAAGTACGTGAGCTCAAAGCGAAATTGGCTGGTGAGATGGCCATGGAGAATGAAGCCGTGAGGCGCCGTCGTCTCAATGCTGCAAAGGCGGTCGAGTCGATTCGTGCTGAAATTAAAGCACTGGCAACGAAAAGCAAGACAGCACTTTGTGGAGCATCATTTACGGCGGGCAACATTGCAGCTTCTCATGCAAAGATGGAAATCATTCGCTCGAGGATCAAGGAAATTGATGCCAAAGGGGAGCTGACATCTGATCTCGAGGCTGAAAGGGAGCTGCTTAAATCTGTCGCTGCTACTGAGGAGGAAGTCATCCGGAAAGAAGCAGATGTGGTCAATCGAGGCACGAGTACAGATGCACTATTCAAGACCAATGTCGGACTGGCCCAGAAGCGCACTTCTGATGAGTGGGATGAATTCGCTCCTGCTTTGCTCAAGATGGAAGGCGAGG